TTACGCCTACCTGTGTGACCCCCGCACGATTCATGTTAAATCTCTTTATGATCCAATTACCCTGCCACCAGAAACAAAGGATTTCTCAGCTCTTAATATAAACCTCCTCAGAAAGACGTACTAATTTCCCACTCTATGAGCTACAATACATGACTGGACATAATACTAAAGCAAACATAAGAAAAAATTCCAACATACATATAAATAATGAAGTGCTTGTAAAAGGTTTGGCTATTCACGAAAGGTAGTACTCACTTTTAAAGGAGTATAATTTCAGACCTTAAATATGCTCCACATCATAACTTACCCTTCCCCTATCTCCACTTACCCCGCCAATTCCCAAGGTTTTCATAATAACATCTCAAAAACTAATTATTGGTACATTTTGACCAGAAAGGAGTCAGAAGTCCTTGGGGTTTTGACTTATTATCATTCTACATTAATTAACAAGCTATTGAAAAGACATGTACAAATGAAAATAAAAATTAAGTTCCAGGCAATTATTACCGAGGTGATTGCATGAACCAGACCATGGGTAATTTGATCCTGACGCATGTGCTTCACGATGTCAAACTGTACACAAAAAGTAAATCATAATAAGCCAATCAGCCAGATCAAGTCTTAATCTTTAAAACCACAAATATTTCATTGAGGCAAAGACAAACGTGACAGGTGTCTGCGAAAATCTGCTTTGTGTGTACATGTTCTGCGTTTATTTTTGTGCGTCTTGTCGCAAGAACAAAATTCTGTTCCAGGGATGCAGATTTTCATAAAAGAATTGACCATGCTACGAGAAGTTTGTGGTTATTCGTCATGCTGAAGACACTTGTAACAAAGTATTATAGTTTGCCTCACGTTTAAGTCACTTCCGCTGTTGATAGCGATGTTTCAATGTTGCATATTCCCAGTCCCCTTTAAGCGATGTGATCGACAAGTTATGTGTCGACTGGTAAAGCATTACACCCCACTGTGATTAGTTGGTTTTCGGTTAAATTTGAATTGTTTAATAACGGAAAGCTTAGGGAACCCAGCTTGGGAAATCGGTCAATCACTGTTGTTATCAGCCAACCAATCAGGACTAAGCATAATGCTTCGTACCATGATAAGTAAATGGTCGGCTTCGTCGCCTTTCACAGAAAATCGTAAGAGTTTTAGAGCTTTAAAAACTCTTCGCGGTGGCTCATTTACGTTATCAAATAAGAAATAAAAACAAATTATTCTGTTTTATCTCCACCACAGGGCGTGAAATTGCGCCTAATACAGGCGCCAATGCGCCTAAATTTTTCACTTTGGCGACCAAATCCTGAAAGTTAGTCGCCAAATTGGCGACTAACTTTCATAACCTTACCAAGAGATATAGTGAATAAAAAAGATTTGCAGAGATAAATCCGCAGTAAACTTCCTCGTTAAGTTTGTTTCCAAAACGTAGCACATGCATCTCGATCGATAACTAGACGCCATCTTGGATTTAGATGAGCCTGAAAGTTGTATATCATCCATCCTAGTGTCCACTTTGTAGCACGTTAATTTTGGAGGGTCTATCTAGAACGCTGACAGCGTAAAGAGAGATTTTGTTTGTCTTTGAAAATGGCGACCAACTTTTTTTGAATTGGCTACCACTTTGAAGAATTTAGGAGCCAAGTGGCTATCAGAAAAAAAAGTTAATTTCACGCCCTGCACCAAGCACCACAGTTTCTTTTTAAACTCACCCCTTTAATCATTTCTCGAAATATGTTTGGAAGTTACTGAATAAAAGTTTTCATTTAAACTCCTAAAAGCAGCATACACCGAGAACACATCACAGAGAAACTGAACGAAACAACGGAATACCTGGGCAGCTCTTGGTTTTGGAATTGTTTGGTCTGCAATTTTCTTAAGCTAAAAACAAACAAAAAAACAATATTTATGAAGGGTACAGCAGGCATACGAGTATCAAACAAGTGTAAAGCGGGTAAATACAGGATTTTTGTTATTCATTAAGTTCCACAGGAGGTGGGAAGACTAATTTGGAGGAAAATACACCTCAGTAGACGAAATAGACCTTATCGCTTACCTCTGCATTAAATCTCTTGAATAAGTCCTCGAAGAGAAGAGACAGAAGCTGTAAAAAGACAAACACCAAGTCATTATTCAAGTGAATCAGAAGCTTGTAACTAACGTGCTTCTGAGAATAAATAGACAATAAAGATGACTGACAAATTGCTCTAGTTTCTCGAAGTAAGTTTATCATTGTTGCACAAATAAACAATAGTATGGAAAGAAGCAAGGATATCTGTATACGGGAAGCGAATAGTTTTCCGAACAGTGCTACATACCTGGCCTGCGAGTTCCAGCCGCTTGTTACCATAGTAATCACGGTCATCTACATGGGCCTAAAAATATGACATACTTGTACAGATGAACCTTTATACACAGGTAGGCCTGAAACTATAATTATTTATTGTCTATCTTAAATTTTTTGGTGAATGGAGGACAGTATAAATTGCAGAGCTGACTCTGAGGCAAACAAGTTGCATTCATGACTGAGAATATTTAAAAGAAATGAATCGGAAAGCGATCTTCGCAGTTAAGAATACTACTTAACAGTAGTGAAAATAAGGCCTGAAAAAATTTCAGGCCCGTACGAAATTTGAACCCATGACCTATGCGATACAGACCGGTGTAGTGCTCTACCAACTGAGCTAACAAGCCAACTGGGAGCTGGTCATTAAGTTGGTTCGTAAGAAGCAGGTTCACTTTGCAACATACCTCGTCGCTGCACGCGAGAATGACTCTACGCACCATCAGAGCTAAGAATACACACTTGGCTTTGAAATCATACTTGATAACCTGGAACAAATAAAACAGAAAAAGTCCAAGAACAAATACCTTCAGTAAGCGTATCTTGTCGGCGCCAAATAAAGCCAACTGTGTTGTCATCAGTTATATTATATCTTTCATCTAGATGTAGTACTGTACCTGTACATGCATTACGATTGGTAAATTTACATGTAGGCAGCTGTATATCACTGCACGGCCCGCCTACCGCCTCTATCTGAACTCAGAGATACGGTATAGTAAAGATACCTCTCTAACCTTGTTTGCCCGCGTGTATGGTAAGTTGCGGAAAAAACTAAGCCGTAATTTACAGTAGTGACGTCGAACTCGGTTAGTAAGAGGTGTAGAATTATAATCTTACCGGAACATGAGCGAGCATAACTCCTGCTAACAACTCCCTTGCCTCCTCCACTTTAGTTCTGCTCTTCCCCCAAGTTGCACGCTGACGCACTTTGGATCCAACATACTGCAAAGCCTGTTAATATAATAAAATCAAAACATAGGGCATATGTTACTTAAATGCAGTTTACTTTATGCTGGTTAATTTATATCCCTTACAGTTTGCGTAGATAGACAGTTGGACTGGTTTTAAACAGGAATTTTGCCTATCCTGCAATGAGGTTGAACTTGCTAGGAGTCTAAAAATGCAAATCCTTACTGAACAGGAATATAAACCCTCGCCAGCTGTGCTTACATGTCGTCTCAAGGTGACAATCTAGAGAGGTGTAGCACACACTACGCCACGTCATTCCCAATCCAGAGATTAATGGTACACGCTCCTAAAAGCCTTCCGAGGAGGGGTGGGTGATAGGGGGCTCATTCATTGCCAAAGTTTCCAGACACAGCAGTTATCACTGAGGATGGCTTCTTAAAATCTCCTTGATGACAACAAAATGTGTCTTAATGTTTCTTCCAATGGTCGCTCACTTAAAAAAAAACCGGTGTGCAGCATGCATATCATTACTTAAACACGCCTCAAATGCTTTAAATAGAAACTAATCAATAAAAAGCATTTCAAAAACGACTGCACTTTTACTAAAATGCTACAAGTGTATCTCATTGTACTTCTCCTATCGAGTAACTTAATATGTAATCTATCTTATGACAAGTTATAAGATGCCTCACTATTTTTACTGAAGATGCACACTGTACGTGTAGATGAAGCTGAAACCGATCTCTGAGGTAGATTCCATAATATATTTTTGAATTTTTGTAATTATGTTCGTTTAATAACAGTGTTATACCTGTAATTGTGTGTAAATATTTAGTTTGTGACACTCCTCAAGAGATGGAGCAAATGTTGAGATCACTTCCTCCTCACAGCCAACCATCTGAACAATTTCTTGTTCACATTCCATTCCCATGGCTTTGAAGATCACAACAACGGGGACATCCTATGGGATTAAAAAAACTCTGTCTACTAACGGATATATACACTGCATCTTCAAGCTATCAAGACCTTAACTGATAAATCACATCTGACTGAGAACTGAAAATTCTGGTCTCATAACCAACTCAGGCCTACCTTGCCTATAAATTCAAACTGAACTTTTCAATTAAAAAAAAATTGATGCATTGCATAACAAAAGAAAACTTAAAGAGTAAGAGAGAAGAGAGGTCTAAAGGAATGATCCTAACCTATCTAAAACCTTCAATTGAGAAAGGGAAATACTCAGGAAAACTATGTGCTTAAAAAATTTGGACATCTTCAGAAGTGGTAAGATTTTTTACAAAAATGCTGGACCTCAGAAAGAACTCATATATGTACTTGTGTCTTTGACCAGAGGAAGTTGGAGGGTATACAAACAGAACTATCAACATAAAATGCACATTGAAATCAATAAGGAAATTACCTCTGACATAGCATTATGTTTCAAACAAAACTTGTTCTGTTTGGTCACAATACTTGTCCTACTTTTCCTTTCAGCTGTTGAACTGAGACAAAATGCAAACAACAAATAAACTTTCATCTCTAAAGGAAAATGCAGTGCACCCTATTGTGTGTGTAAAGGAGTTATCAGTAGTAAATGGTAGACAGCTGTGAATCACACACCTTGTAACAGAACATCCAATATTCCCTTTTTTGTCTACTTCCACAATGATACGATTCTTTGACAACTGTTCTTGAATTAATATGACCTTTTCTGTTCCATTTGCTATAAAGTAACCTCCTAAAAATTCAAAATAATCAACAATTGACAGTTTCTACAATAATTGATTCTTTACAGCTAGCTGTAATTAAAGAGAGTGATCAAAGAATTCTAAAATTAGAATGCCTCTTATACAAACCATCATAACCCTCTCTATGTACAGCTGCACCCACATAAAAAATAGTTGTGTTTAACCCTTTACACCCTAACATCAGTATACATACACAGATTCTCCATATTGTTCTTTATACATTTCTTAAGGTGCTGACAAGGAGAATTTGTATAACAATCATAAGCCTCTTTCATTGGTGATCATTTCCTTTATTCTCATGACCTTAATGTTTGATTCAAGGGGGATATCAAAAGGAGAAATTAGACACCAGTCACTCTTAGGAGTTAAAGGGTCGAAGTGATCAACATGGGTTTTGTAGGGAAACTGGCTGAGAAACAGTTACATGTACTGTACTTAGAGGAGGTAAACTGCTCCCATCCACATTCAATCCACCCAGCATCTTACACTTACAACACCTGGCATAATAATAAACTAATGTATGGTATCAACCATCCAAAGCAAAGAATGACACCACTCTTCAGCTGAGAAACCAAAATGAAGTACATTTCAGGATTTACCCCCAACTACTGTACTTGACATAATGGTTGGTGCAGGATACCCAGCACAATACTGAGGAATCACCATAAAATATTATACTCTAACCAACCTGGATCAATAGGGCACTCATTCAAGGATGCCAACTCAGCTGGACTTTTACCAGTCAATACACAGTTAGAACTGCGAAGCATTATAGGCATTCTAAAAATTGATAAAAACAAACATATTTTGGCCAAAATTATTTCATATGGTACTTATACAAGAAAATAAAATTGTAAAATCTCAAACAAAATCTCTTCAATCAATGCTGATGGAAACCAACTTTATTGTTAGTTACAATCATTGTTTGAATCTGATGGCTAATTGTTGGCAACATTTTCCATATCTAATCTCTGATTACCCTTTGTTTATCTTTTGAATAACAAGCAGTAAACCTAAAACAAAGTTGATTTGAAGTTGGAGGAAAAGAAATGCTTAAATATTGTCTACATGCAGCTTTTTCTCCTCTGCTTCCAATTGAATTTATTAGTGTGGACATCATGTGCCAGTTATTAAACAAAGTTTAGCTGTTGTGTAACAAAGCCATGGTCTAAACCTTTTTCAATTTAGCAGAGCCTTTAATCTCACTTTTTATTTCTGTGAACAGTGTCAAGAAAGCCGAGTTCTAATAGTGGAAGGACTTTTTTTTAATGTAATCAACCCTCTTACAGAGAATCCCGTAGGCACACTGCTTGAATGTGTAAAACCACAGATTGGGTTAGATCTCATGCAAATAACCCACCATGCATGTGTTACTCAAAATATCAGCTAGGTCACACCTACCTCCCTACTGGCAGGTTATGCCTCACCACACGCTGTAAAACAACATTCCAACAACCACTTAATTAGTGGTTAGTAGTCAGGTTTTATTCACCAACATAGAAGAGGGCACTTCATCCTACTAGATGGTAAACTAATTACATTTCTGACACTATTCAAAACCAAAATTCCCCTGCACATCTGCTCTTTACAAGGCCACCCTGCCAGTATTCAATATCACACATACAGTACACCCTTCCTCAATGATACAGAGATGCTAATCATTATCAAGGGGAAGTTGCCCTTGTAATACAAGAAAAAAATTCTGTCAAACAAATCCAAAAAATCTATTTTACACCCGGAGAAAAAGTCAAGAAATGTTTGGCAGTTCAGAGCAGAGCTACAAGGTGACCACCTCAACTTGCACAAAAGGGCCAAAGTATTTTTAAAGTTGCTGTACCAGACGAAAAAATTTCAAGCTACAGTCCAAACTGTATTAAGTGGTCACCCTGTATTCCCTGTAGGTAACCACTTACAGGTTACACTGTAACAAAAATTTTAATTTAAGCAAATTTGAATAATATGCACACAAGTAAATTTAATAACAATTATATCAAAAATTAGAAGAACTGCCCACTACTTTAAAAAACTGGGCGCATCAGAACAACACAATTAAATGCGTCTTATTTCCCTTATAAAGAAAGGGAGCAGAGTAATCTAGAAAATAATTATTCCTTTGAGCAAAACAACATGATCCTTACCTGACTGCCTCTTGTGTACTCAATGTCAACCGTTATTGGTGCTGAGTATGTCATATCCCGTAAGCGGCACTAAACAATGATTGTAATTACAAGTAAGTTTGGACCTTTCATAGCTTTCATTCATATTTGCAGTTGACTCCTATGATAACTTGAAACCTTTGTAATTCAAAACTTATGTTAACTAGAACCAAAAGGGATTACCTCCTGGATTCTCACCACATCATGCTATGCACAGATCAATAAAAAGCTTCATTCTTCTCCCCCCCTCCCACTCCCCCTGGGCAACCCAGTGCCCAGAGGGAGGGGGATTTAAGCCTTGTCAGGGTAGGGTGGGAAATTTGAACCAGAACTGTGAACCCCTTCCAGCATATTGACCATGTTTCATCTTTTAATAACGAGGTATCTTAAGGTAAAAATTTCTCTTCCACTAAGGTTGGCACTTGGGGCATTTGAATCCAATTTTGAACCTGGAGACAGGACTTTAAAGAAAGCTATCTTAAAAAAGGTCAAATCCTCAGGAGGTTTCCCATTAAGGGGAGGGAAGGAGGGGAAGGAAAGTTGAAGCTTCAAATGAATTGACATATCATTGTTTATTATTGTATGCCCCCAGTTCATGAATCTCAAACCCATAATGGTCCCAACCATATCAGTAATCAGTTTGTTGTTAAAAGGACCTGTAGAAACTTTCTGGCATTCAGCATCCAGATTATCCAATAAACTTGCCTCATGAGGTGAGATGGGTTTAGTGATGTTAAAAGATTCCTCCACATCAGGACTGCCAACGTATATATTCAGGTATTTTAGATACCACACTGGATCAGCATCAGTGGTGATCTTCTCATTTGCTTTAACAATCTTCTTTATCTGGAAAGTAGGGCAATACAAACATCAAAATACAACATCGCCAGTATTATCTCCCTCCATCCAACTGAAAAATAAATCCTCACTCAACTCTGATGATGAATTCACCTAAGTCTTTAGTCAGTCACTGTTACCAGCTACAGTCCAAGGGCATAGCCAGGATTTTTCAAGCAGGGGGGTCACACTGTGACAAGCAGAGGGTACACACCAGATTGCCATGTCAATCTCCATGCCATGTTATGCTTACAAGGGGGGGGG